CCTCCGCGCGGCGCAATGACGTATGCAGCCGACAAATGCGCACTCATGAGGACCCAGCCCCTGAATTGAGACACAGCCAGAGTGGTCCCACGGCCCTCTGTGGCCCAAAGTTAAAAACTGTTGTTCTTCTGAGGCCCTCAAGGTGGCGCTCGCTCACGGCATACAGGTTAAGAATTTCTGCACTAGAGGGCCAGTTTGTCACAGGCACATCTGAATCTTTGCACCTCCCCATATTTACACTAGTCATATGTAACTGCCAAGTTTCATAATGCTTGGCCCACATGAACATGGTGAAAAAAACCTCAGATTAGCAGGAAAAAAAAATAATAATTAGGTCAAAAGCAATAAGGCCCTCCACTGTTTTACAGTGCTCAGGCCCTAATTAAATGTATTTAAACTTTTAATTGTGAAGAATATAATAAATTTTTCTTAAATTCTCTCTCTCTCATTATTCTGGCATTTGGCAAGTAGAAAAAATATGGAAATCCTGATTGATCTAAAACAGGAAAAGTTTATTCTGATTTAAAGCAGTGTGAAAAAATGCACGTGTTTTATATAGTGYATGTAAACATCTGGTGTATGTGGATGATCTGACTTTATTTCCATTGGTTTGACTAGCMGAGCAGCTTTGCAGGAAACCTTCACGCATCACAACATGATCAGAGGGAAATAAACTACAAGAAAGCAAACTGGTTTGGGTGAACTGGGTCAGCGACCTGTGTGTGGGAACAAAGGTTAGCAGCTGCTGAAATCTCCATACCTCCTCCATGTCAAAGGAGTCTGCATTTTCCACTCGTAGATGGGAGAGCTTGTGTGCAGTCATGGTGTAGGCAGCTTTGTCAGGCGTGGAGGTGGTGCTCTTTTCATCTTTGATCACCTGAGGCTCCTCCCCTTCTTCCTCCATTTCTTTTCTCTGATTGGCTGAGTGGAGGTCGGTGGACTCTAGCAGAGACTCCTGTCCAGAGCTGCTCGGCTCAGGACTGATGGAAAAACACGACAATTAGACGAAGTAATAAAAAAGAAAATAGTAACTGAAACACAAATTTAATTAAACTGAACATGTTTCCCATTCATGTGCAGACAATAGAAACTGTATTAGTTTGATTGCTGCCATGAAAAGTAAAACATGTAAATGTGTGTGTCTGAGTGAGTGAGCCTAGCTTTTTCTTCTGTTAGCAAAATATTTATTAGATTTTAAAGAAACTCTCTGAAACTAATTTTAGATCTCTATTACCATATTTTTCAGACTATAAGCCGCGACTTTTCTACTGAACTTTGAACCATGCGGCTTATAGTCCGTTGCGGCATATACATGGATTTTTTTCTTCAGCCACCAGGGGGTTCTTATGCTCCATTTGCTTCAACCACTCGAAGCAGCGATTTAAAGATAGTCAGTGGCCAAAAACTCATAAAAGGGGATAAAACAGACATTTTTCACGGTGGAATCTGACTTTGGAGCTTAATCCAGGACCAGTTTGTGGATAAACGTCGAGTGAAGAGCTGCTGAC